AATATCTGCAATAGCGTGGGCAGCAGCTTTTATCCGTACTTGCTCGATTGTGGGATTAATTCTGACAGCCTCCTTCCACCTGTTTTCCACAATTGCCCATGTGGCCATGGCGACCAATCTCATCTCATTAGAATTTTCGACTTGAACGGCTTGTAAGATTGTGCCTTTTCGCCCCACGGAGACTGGCATTTTATTATATCGGGAAATTGGCATGAAACCGCCCCAGGGCATCTTCATTCCTTTGCAGATGGTGCAATACTGCCCAATCGCGTGGCTGGTAATATCTCCAGGGATGCATGGTGAGCCAATTTCTGGATATGGTGTTGTGAGCTGTCGCGGCTGATGTCCTGCCTGTATCCATAGGTCAGTATTTACTAGTGAGAAACACAGTGAAATCATAAGTGAAAATGTTATTGTTAATCATTCTTATCATAGCAGAAATGAATTTTTGAGCTCAATGATAGCTTGGGGCAGGGCCATTCAGATGGAAGAAGTGACTGGTAATAGCACTCTCAACACACGAGTCAACCAAGCTATTGATGTATCAAGATAGCCAGCACTTCGAAGATACAGACTATAGCTGCCGCACCCACAAGGTGCTGACTATGTAAAAAGAGATGGATTGATTAAGTCAACTACCCCACTTTCCGACCACCCCCTCTTTTCGACCACCTCAAAAACCACACCGCTTTGAGTAATTATAAAATTTATACTTTGAATAGCTCAACAATGCTTTAATCAATTGATTTGAAATTTTGATATTATTATAATTGTGATATGAAGAATAGATATACCGAAGAAGATATCGCAGAGGCTCTTAGAGCGATTACAAATGGAGCAAGCATACGAAGAGCTAGCTTGGATTATGGTGTTCCACGTACCACACTTCACGATCGAATATATGGTGGAGTTTCGCATCAAAAAGGCGCACAAATACTTCAAAAGTTATCTCCAATTCAGGAGAATCGACTAGCAGAATGGATATTAGTACAGGAAGCTCTTGGTACTAGCCCTACACATCGTCAAATCAGAGAGATGGCAGAGCACCTCCTTATTGTACGAGGGGAGGATCCCTCACTTGGAAAGAAATGGATACATAGCTTTTTTCGAAGGCATCCTAATATTGGAACTAAGAAGCAACATCAAATCGATTCTGCACGAGTTTCAGGTGCTACATCTGATATTATTAAGAAGTGGTTCCGGAACCTCGCAATCCCTGAAATCAAGGCTATTAAGCCGGCCAACAGATGGAATATGGATGAAGCAGGTATAATGGAGGGTCAGGGTCTTAATGGACTAGTAGTAGGAAGCACTGATCGAAGATTTATTCAAAAAAAGCAACCTGGATCTCGAATTTGGACCTCTTTTATAGAATGCATTTCAGCCAATGGAAAAAGCATTACTCCCCTTGTAATATATAAGGGAAAATCAGTTCAACAACAATGGTTTCCAACAGATTTGACTCTATTCAAGGGTTGGAACTTTACCGCTACAGAAAATGGATGGACTACAGATGCTACAGCTTTAGAATGGCTGAAAAAGATCTATATCCCTCAAACTACCCCTATTCAGCCGGAAAATTCAAGACTCCTCATTTTGGACGGACACGGAAGCCATGAAACTACAGCATTTATGTTAGAATGCTTTAATAACAACATATATCTCTTACTTCTCCCACCACATACGTCACACGTACTACAACCACTCGATTTATCTGTGTTCTCACCCCTAAAAAGTGCATATCGAATCGAACTTAATAAATTAAGTCTATCATCCGATTCCTCACCAATTGGAAAGCGCAATTTCCTTTCTTGCTATCAGAAGGCTAGAATAGAAGGTTTAACTATTCAAAATATCAAGTCTGGGTGGCAAGCTAGTGGTCTTTGGCCCAAAAATATGGCTAAACCTCTTATGAGTCGACTTTTGCTTGAAAATAGCAATAGAGAGGTTTTATCACTTAATCCTGAATCTGATGATGATCCTATTCTTCAATGGAATATATATTCATCGTTTATTCAATGGAAAACCCCTCAAAAAGGAGCCGATATCAGAAAATATAGAGATATAATGATTCAAGAGAAGGAGATCGATTTGCCAACACGAAGATTACTATTTCGCAAGATTATAAAAGGATTCGATGCTAAGGATTATGAACTCTTAGAGGCAGAGAATAAGATTAGAAAGCTAGAATATCAATTAGATGAAGCATTACCTAGAAAAAGGCGAAAGGTTGTGGTATCTCCAAATTCGAAGTTCGCAGGGATTAGAGCTATAAGGCGTACACAAATTGAAGCTGGAGATCGTGAAGATGAGGTAGATGATAGCTCTAGTGCTATAGAAAGTGATTCTACAGGCGATTTCATTGAAGTTCAATAGTTATTGAGTTATTAAAGTTTTAAGTGTAGATAATATGAATTTTTTAGGTGGTCGGAAACAGGGGGTGGTCGGAAAGTGGGGTAGTTGACTTACTTAGAGGCTCCGGCGAACCCTCCACGGCCACTTGGCGCATAACATTGTGGAATACGCTCAAATGAGGTGAGCGTAACGGCTGGCTCGAGTGGATCACCAAACACCTTGTTGAATAAACTGGAGGGAAAATTGTTTGTCCCAAGCAATTGGCAAACTTTCTGCGGTATTTTGTGCATAAAGCGAACAAATTCGCGTATTATTTTTACGAACTGTCATCTGTCTCGGAGGTTAAATTCTGAGTAAGACAAGATTTGCTTACTTACAATTTCTACAAAGCTCAGAGAGGGCATCTGCCGCGCCAAGTGGATGCCGCAGACTAACATAGCTAGTTACCAACTGCGACCCCTTTTCTTCATAAGTCCCAAAATTGCTTCTATTTTCCAGCAATTCATGTTAATTGTATCCTTATGTCATGTAAGATAGAAGCACAAAGTGTGCTGATGAGAGACTATGGACGAGTAATATGACAATACTCCGTTATGGAAACCTTTTCACAGTTTTGTATTAACGTGGTTTATCAGTACATACATTATATCAATATATGCACCACTTCAAAATACATCAAAATTAGTCTTTTATTAATATTTTTATTTAAATTATTAATCATTATTTTTTTTAAAAAAAGTTTCCCTATAAATAATAAAAATAAAATATTTATAAAATTTAATCTTTTTATAGATATCTCAATTGTAATTTAAGAATATTATACTTTACATTACAAAAATCAATTTCTTTGAATAATCTTATTATTATTATAAGATTTTACTATTTTAATTCATTTTCATATTATTTATATAAATAAATATAATATATATAAAGAAAAATTAAATTATACTAATAAATAAAAAAAGTGTATGATTATATACAGCCGTTTTTTGTATATAAAAATAATAATATATATACTGATATGGTATACGTACTAATAAACCACGTTAACCAAGCTTCATTATCTTGTTTTCTCATGTAGTGGGGCATTTGAATCGAGCTTCCAGTGGTCAAAATTGCCTAAGCGACCCCCCCGATGCCAATCCCCAAATTGCTTCAATATTCAAAGATCGGAACTACCGGGTACTGTCCACAAAAGGGACTCGAAGAAAGACTCTTTGATCGGATGTACCTGGATCTTGAGATCGAGAATATTGGAGTTGCTGTTTGGCTCTGGCTACCGATTAAGTCAAGTTCATAAATTAGATTTGGTGGACACTGAGTTGAGGGATCCATTGTTCGGAGCGGAAAATGCTGAGAATGTAGAGTAGTTGGGAAGCTGGATGAAGCAGTCTTCAGTACTTAGGAGGATAGATAATAGGTCGGTAATTGTAAAGAATAAACAAGCGCATTAATATCTTATGTCCATCTCTAGGTTCCCCAGAGCAAAGAGGAAATACTTGGAAGATGTAACCTTTTGATAAAGATCTTCCGTTGAAAAATTGAGATTATCTCCTTGTTCTCTCTAAATTTTGATCTTATTCCATTCATTGCGAGTCACTTCAATCATAGTTCGTGTGCAAAGTCCAGGCTTCAAGAATAAAATATATGCGTCGTGTACCCAAAGATTCGATAAGTGAAGCAACGGATTCAGAATTCATTACCTACCCGGGTGGGCTTCGTTACATTGTAGCTTTGTACTTGAAAGTGGTATTCCTGACTGTGGTTTAGCAATTATATAATAAAGAAGAAATAGGATAGGCTTTGATATGGCTCTGCATATTCTTTACTTAAAATGCGATAAAAGGCAGATTATGAATGTGCAAGTGAAAATGATTGAATCCCAGTGATTGCCTATGTGTTCTTATACAATTATTTTTGGTATTCACCTAGAGAGCTACCTGTAGAAGCTACCCAGTTTCGTTAACCATTGGACAAATCAATTTCATCTGATGTCATTTGAATCAATCACCCCCTCCCCCTCCTACTTGTAGTAAATAATAATGTTAGAAACCACAAACTCCACAAATAACTCTGTCTAATTACTTTCCTGAATCATTTCACGAATAATGTATTTGTATTTGATAACATTTAGTTCGAGTTAGTTTCCTATAACAAATGTGAATAATGAATCCTTGGACATACTGTCGTCGACCTGCCGACCAGCTGTATGTCGTTTCAGAACAAATGGCCGTACCTTTATTTATCTATATAAACAGATTATTTGAAAACCTGAGAACTTCTTTATTTCATTAGAAAACTCTTACATCAAGGATCTGAGAAATTTTATCCTTGGAAAGACCTTCAAGGACAAGATACTCATACAAAACAACCAAGTTCACACCCTCTGTGCATATTTTGATACTTGCAACACACCATCGTTCAAGGCATCTATTTTGCAGAAGTTGTCTTAGTTCAGGACATCAAATTTTAAGCATATTCTACTATCAAAGACTTGAGAATCTACCCTGAGTTCACTACTCTCAACTGCTCCATGGTATCTACCTGAAGATTAGCCAGCAGTTTCACTCATCCCTAGTTTCTACTTGCAAAATCAAACAATCAATTATATTCACTAACCGTAACAAAGAATTAATCTAGGTCAAATGTCTCAGAAGAGGAACCAAGAACTTCCACCCACCAAAGCACCTCTTCCACCATTTGGACAGCCAGGTCACCAAGGAAAATCCGCCCTCCTCCGCGAAAACTTCCTCTGCAACCTCGCAGATGCGATCGTTCCTACCGGTCTCTTCGGTGATCATAAGAGACACCGCCGAGATAGTGCCTATAGGGCAGGGGACTTCAAGAAGGCTGATGTAGAGGCCCACGATGAGGAGGATGACTGGGTAAACTTGACAGACAAGACAGTCAAATCTGGTCCTCTGCAAATCACACCTCGTGATACGAAGTCTGAAGAGCATCGCCGCAGTCCCAGCATGAGTAAATCTCCACCGATGAATCAGGGGTTCAGCCAGGCTAAACTCAGTGCGGGATCGATCCAGGATGCATTTTTTTGCTTGGGCTGTTACTGGTGATACAGATTTGACGCCTGCCGTTGTTGGCCAACCCGACAATTCCAAGTTCATCCTTCGTCGCTATGATATTAGGAGTCCCACAAAGATCGAGAAGAAGCGCATCGATTTGCATATCGATGAATTCGATTGGAGCAATAAGGAGCATGTTGATAGACTGAACAAGGCTCGTCGTCACTGGGAGATTAACACTCTTGAGTCAAACCCACAGACCAGTGGAAAGTCTCGGTAAGTTTCGCATGATCTGAGGATTTAGAGATTTCAAATTACTAACGATGATCGCTTTTAGCGTAACTATCGATGGTAGACGCTCTCCTGTTGATACATCCGTCGGAAGCTGGTCACCTGGCGACGAGGAGGGTGATGGGGATTCGATTGACTTCTAGAGCAGCTAGAAACTTGGCGAGCAACATCTGTCAGTCATTAACTGACTTTTGGGCGTATTGAATCATGATGGGACACGGACGGGACAGTTTCTTGGGATCATGGAGCTGCCGGATTTCTTCGACTATTTTGATACCATGGCATTCCACGGCGTTTGGAGTGTTTACAGACTGGGTTTTATACAGATCGAAATCAAGGTTCTGTGCATGCCATTTATGTTTATTCTTACATGTGACTTGTTTCATGATATGAATGCTAGCTTTGATCACTCTTTTGAAATTTCACACACGTCGCCGACACATAAAGCCCAAAATGATAAAAGTTAGCTTGATGATCAGATAGGGGGCTGCGACGCTCGAAGTTGGACTAGGTACACGCGGATAATGTTCTGAGTAATAAGTGCCTGCAGATGGAAAAGTTTCTGATTTTAACTTTGACCTAAAATACATTTGCTACCAAGACTAATCGAAATAAAATAATCATGCAGCGTGAAACCAGATCTGCTCATTTATCTCCCTATAGCATTCTCTCACAAGATTAATCATCTCTAATAATCTAGCTGGCCTGCACGGTATTTCGCTTGGAAGCTTGACGAGGTTCCTAATCCTCCTTTTTTCCTCTTTTCCTCTTTCGCCTCGAAGAGCTTGGAGGCTAGAGTGGAGGAGTACGTGTGAATTGTAATAATATGAGGCTAGAAGAAAACGAGCTGGCGGCTACTGATACGGGATTGGATCAAGACCCTCCTTCATACTCTTTGCCTCCATGCACAAAATATAGTTAAGCAATAGCTTCTTCTCAAACATTGAAATGGTGATGTAGTATCCTTCATCTCTGTGAGTTGGTATATAATATCCGCCAAAATCTTGAACAAATTCCGTTCGAATGCTTCAAAAGTTAACATATACGTTTCACTGGTTAGTCTAGATTCTGACAAGAGACAAGGTGAGATTTGTTTGAATTCTTCATTGAAACTATCATCTAGAAGAGAGACAAGGAGAGGGTCACATACTTCCTTTCATAGAACTTAGGATGTTGAAGAAAGCAAAGAGCCAACATGAGTCTTACATTCCATACACACCCGAAAATGGTGAATGAAAAAAGATAACATTTGAGGTTATCTTCATGCCGATGATATCCATACACCAAGGCACAAGATAGATCACAGTATTAAACAGAATGTTTTGAGTGGAACATGTACGGCTCTGTGGGAATAGAAAATGTATGTTCAAAAACAACAATACCATCCAAACCATCTAAAACATTCACTCCTCACTTTCCCCAGAAGAAAAATTGTTTCTACATATGTTATATATTATTCACATAGCAACCACCGTACCAAGGGCGGGGTAAAGGGGTGATAGATGATTCTACCGCAGAATAAGATTTTCTATCAAGTTCAACATTGATACAAAGGATCCCGAATCTTCATCTTCTTTGATTTCTTTCTTTCTCATAACAACTTCTTCCATCCTCACAACATCAACATCTCGATCTCATACAACTCTCTCTAAGTCTCTTAGCAACAACAATTCTTCAATCTTTTCTTGATATTGGATTTCCACATCTTTCGTCAGCATTAACATCTTTGACACGATTTCTTGATTTCTCGTGAGAATATCCTCGAAGTTTCCAAAAGTTCATTTCACCTCCAGTAAGCGCATCCTTTCCTTTCCAGCTCTTTCTATGCTATCTCTTTCTCGAGCCCTTTGCCTATCCTTATTCTTCACTCTTGCGAATTGAAGCACTTCTCATAAAAGCAATTCTCTTCCTGCACAATACACTTCCTCCACTCTCTCTATCCTCGCGCCTGAGCAGATAGATCAATCTCCCGCATTGCACTTAGCTCAACCACTCTTCACTTTTGTAAGTAGAGCCTCGTCGTAGAGTGCACTCTATTTCTGGACTATCTTTCTCTCAATCGTCCAGGCAAATCATCATTCCTTCTTGCGCTTGTGCATCGAATCTTCATCACGCTTCGTTGCATATCTTCACTCAGACTTCTTACCCCCTTGCATAGCAAATTCGTACACTTACTTTCATCTTTCGTCTTTGACTCAATTCTGTACGAGCGCACTTGACATTTTCCCGTCAGTGACATTACCTCACACAATCTCCAACTCAAATTTATCTGGTTCATATCATTGAACAGTCTTTAAGAATTCTCGTTTTAAATACTGCATACGTTCCAAGATCTAGGCATTCACCTGAATTACCTGATCGAAGATCTCAAGTATTCATACTAATTCATTTTAACACTTAGCGAAAAATCGAAATCCGACCACAGACGAGTACACATAATGCAGAGTATACGAGAGATGGAACAGAACGGAGAAAAGAGCACGTATAGCTGTCCGAAGTCACCTCTTTGCAAAAGCTTGGATGTTCTCAGTGCCGCTGCTGCTTTCCAGGAAAAAGATCGAGCTCCTATAATTCACCGCGAAAATTTCGGAGATGAACAGCAAAGACCTGCGACTTCTTTGTAGAGCGCGATTCGGGCCTTGTTACTGGGGGCGGTGGTGATGATAAATCTAGCAATACCCCCACCGCCGGTAAGAAGATTACCCACAAGACCCCTCTGCCGAGCGACCGTAGAGACGGATCAGAAATGCCACTCGATTCAACACTCAGTCCCTTACATTCTCCACATGTGCCACGGATCATCAAGGAGATACCCAATCCAATTTGCCCTTTCCTGTATAATCACTCCATCGGTAGATTTTGTTTTCATTGTCGATATATGGAAATGCCATGGAGAGACAGACTTCCAGTGGCTCTCGACACGAACGGCAACAAAATCCAAGTCCCCCCCCAAGGTGCATTGCTAGAGGGTGTAAGAAACTTAACTGAGCCCTTCGAGATTGCCCAGCTTGCTCTACTTATCGAGTTTCGCATCATAGAACAAGATCTTGCCACCATCCCTGGTCTCGTTGCAACTTTTAAGTACTTCCCACATTTGCATGATGTTGCTCATAGAATTGCAAATATGGTCAAAGAGCTTCGAACCTTGGCTGATGAAGGTGAGAGCGAACGAGTACCACAATGGTTCGATACACTCCATGAGTGTGTTGAAAGATCCCAATTTGACGCACGACCGATACTTCGCACAGACAACTGGAGAGTGGAACTTCCAAGCAAAGAATCCAGCACCTGCCGTTAAAAAAGCTCGAATCTCAACACGATTTTTGACCGGTATTCCAGTGATGCTTACCAGAGAGGATGCGATAAACTATGAAAACACTCGCGACGGGCGCACCGAAGCTGAGGCTCGTGAACTTATGAATCATCTCAATAGGAACGAGAGCAGAGGTCCAGGATATGTTCAATTCACGTTCGACTTTGTAAGTTTGGTTGAGGGAAGGAGCGCATAGCACTGGTAATGATGCTCCACAATGGAGTCCCCGCTACGTTCAAGAGTATTATACGCATATGTACCCCGCGTCTGCATTGGTTTATGGAACCAAAATAAACGGCACACGATTCGCGTGGTCGGTTGGATTTTTCAAACCGCCATGACTCGACACCCAGAACACCACGTTTTCGCGAAGAGGCCTCGGAAGTTGAGCTCTACGATAGCAATGATGATGAAGAGAACTTGAAGGGGCTTACTTTCGTAAGATCCAGAAGTTAAGAAGAATACACCAGGTCGTGCCAATGTTACATGGCGTTTTGTTGAAGGAACAGACATCACAAATGCACAACTCGGAAACCAGACCCTAGCAAGTTCTATTTGACTCGCCAAAATGTCGATGATCCCGAAGAAGTTGATCTCCGTCATACGCACAAATTGCCGGGATTTGACTGGAATGATCCTGCCGACATCAAGAAGCTCAATAAGGCTAGAGCTCAGAATCGTAAGCGTACACATGGTAACATTGCCGAAACACGAATTCCATGGACACAGCTGGAAAAGGATAAACTCTTGAAGAGGTACAAGATGCGATTAGAGTCGGTGAGACAAGACATACGATTGACTGGGATGAGATCGCAGACAGACTCAGACAGAGATTCGATGGCTTTGTACAGAAGAAGGGATCTAAGTTGGCACCAGGAGTTGAGAGAGAACTAAAGAATGGCAAGAAAGATAGAAGTAAGTTAATATTTCCTTGCTGCTTTTGTGTGATTGGAAACTGAAGGGCCGTGAGGCCCGGGTTGCGATTACGGATTCACTTTATTCTTGAGATATGATAGCTAACTACTTGCTTCACAGCTCTCAAGACTAGTCACAGCGACCGCGTAGGTTACAATCGCACTGGCTCTGCAACGGAGACACAAGCCTTGAAATACCCAGATATTCTCAAGTTGATCAATGATGCAACTGGAATTGGTGGAAAGGGAGGACGTGGCATGCTCAGAGGTCCCTATCGACCCCCGCAAGCTGCTGGTGACGAGAAGAAAGAATCCAACAGTCAACCAACAAAGGAAGACACGCGCGTCGCCCGCAGCAGCTTTTCACAGGCTATTAATGATGAACAAGATGAGGATGACGATTCACCAACAAAGAAACACAAGAAGTAGGGGCTTCCGGCACGATGTATAATGCGCCGACCAAAGAGCTTAATCCGTTGGCAAAGCGAACTCTGGACCTTCCTAGCAAGAGATTTTGCACATGTTCGATGATGTATATGATACAGGAAATGGTCGTGCAGCAAAGAAGCCAAAGATTATTCACCGTCGCTATTCAAGCAGCCCACCTCCTCGTATGTTAAAGACACAACGATAATGAGAGGATGATGGATCACCACCTTCAACATCCCAACCATCTGCAATTGAACACTGGA